TGCACAACTAACTAGCACAGCTGCAGGGGACAGGCGGGACAGAGAAAAATTGGGACTCTCTCCAGCGTGGCTCCGGCCCAAGGTCTCAATCCTGTCCCCAAGTGGGTCCGGTGCTGGGATAACGCCGACAAGGTTTAACGGAGGGAAAAGTGGCTATGCACAGGGGGAACAGCGCACCCGCAAAACAGTCATTCAAGTCCACATACACAAAAGAAAGTGACTCTAAAGCCTGGTTCAGACAGTTGCGTTTGACTGGACATCCCTGCTGCTTATATCGCGTGCCAAGATGATTCCTTGAATCGACCGATCTCACCAGCCAGTTTGACTACGCCACCGCTGCCGCATTGGATCGAGGGAGCTTTAGTCTTTCTGCACGTGCGACAACGTCACTGGAGCTCTGCGCGTGTGGAGCATGAGGCGGCACGAGCCGTCTTGTGCACTGCTGCCTGCCTCCTGCGAACTAAAGTTATGGCGGCGTCACGCATGCGCTGAACGCTTGGTGAGATCGGTCTATTGGATTCCACGCTTCATACGAAGCACAGATGTGCCGGTGACTTGCTTTCAGTTCTCGACGCAACGCAGTCAATCGCACTCAATTAAACGCAAGTGTCTGAACCGGCCTTTATGCAGCGCTGACCAGAGGTCGGCATTTTAGGTCGCCCTCACTCACCCTCACCCTCACAGCTACACTCACCTTCAGCCCCTCACTCACCCTCATCCTCACAGTCACACTCACCTTCAGCCCCTCACTCACCCTCATCCTCACAGTCACACTCACCTTCAGCCCTTCACTCACCCTCACTGAACCTCACGCCCCTCACACACTCATGGCCCTCACGCACTCACCGCCCTCACGGCCCTCACGCACTCATACCCCTCACGCACTCATGGCCCTCAAGCCACTCACCGCCCTCACTCCACTCACCGCCCTCAGGCCCTCACTCACTCATACCCCTCACGCCCCTCACGCATTCATGGCCCTCACACCACTCACTGCCCTCACGCCCCTCACTCACTCATGGTCCTCGCGCCCCTCACGCACTCACCGCCCTCACGGCCCTCACGCACTCATAACCCTCACGCTCTTCACGCACGCACCGCCCTCACGGCCCGCACGCACTCATACCCCTCACGGCCCTCACGCTACTCAGGCCCACTTCAGATGGGGCAATTTTGGCTAGAAACTTGACGTCGCAACACCAGCAACACGGGCCGCCTGCGTTCACACGCAGCAACCAATTGCAATTTGCCATCATCATCATGAAATTTTATTTTCCTTGCACAATTTAGACACACGATTACGCGCTATAAACGTGCTTTTATGCATTTAAATCTCGTTGAGAATACTAATGCATCTTTCTGAAACAGTTAATTTCCAAAAACAATCAATTTCAAATCAGAACCAAGTCTTTTGTTGTCATCGATCATCACCGGCACGAGGTATCACGTGAAAATATCGCGTCCCTGATTGGATGCGGCCACTTCAAACGTCTTCGAATTGCTCTGAGTTGCTCGCTTGTTTCGAGTCGGACCCGATCTCAGCGATTCGTGTCGACCTAGGGAAAACTAGGGAACAACCCACCAGCAACACCAAAATTGCTGAGAAAGTTGCTCTCTATGAAGGGGGCCTCACGCACGCACCGCCCTCACGTCCCTCACGCACTCATGGCCCTCACACCCCTCACGCACTCACCGCCCTCACGGCCCTCACACCCCTCACGCACTCATGGCCCTCACACCCCACACGCACTCACCGCCCTCACGGCCCTCATACCCCTCACGCACTCATGGCCCTCACGCCACTCACTGCCCTCACGCCCCTCACACACTCATGTCCCTCACGCCCCTCACGCACTCACCGCCCTCACGGCCCTCACGCACTCACGGTCCTCACAGCCCTCACAGCCCTCATCGGCCCTCACTCACCCTCACACTCATGAATTTTACTGATTCAGAAACTCACTCACCTTCACCTCACCTGTGAAGATGAGGGTGAATGAGGGTGAGTGAGGTTTGCCGAGGTATGACGCTGACTAACAACTCTCTAGTATTATTACTTTTTTCTCGCCTTCTTTTTGTTTGATGGACTAGGGTCAGAGAGAATAATTGGTCCTTTTCCGTTTCCAATGGATAGCTAAACAGTAAACTAACTAAAATTTAAAATAATGTAAGGCAGGTAGTCTAGTTCTTTTTGTGATAAGGTTAAAAGGATACTACAACGAAATTTCGGCGCTCATTTTTCAGTCTCTATGTGTTCAAAAAGGCAGCATCACCTCGAACATGCCGATATCTTGTTAAAAAAAGTCACGAAAAGGAATTTTAAAACGAATTAAACGATTAGCAAAGAGCACCTGGTGGATGTCGCTAACACCTCGCTTGTAATGCCCGTCTAGGAACCTTGACAGCTAGTGACGGAGGAGGAAGTGGCCGAGTGGGCTAACGCGTTTCAGCTCGGAGCGTGGAGCGAAAGCTTGCGCTAGGAACCTCCTGGGTTCGATCCCCGCCGCCCCCGCTTGTTTTGATCTGGATGAGTTTCGTACCGGCACGCGTTCGTGTGATCACTACTGCGTGATGCACGTTAAAAACCGCAGGTTAGCGGTTGTACCGCACGGGCTCAATAGGGAGTTTTCGTAGACCGCGCTACCCCCTCCGCTAAGCGTTCCGCAACGAAGAAGTTGCTACTGCGCCTGCGCGTCGATAGCCTTGACTGTGGAGTTCCGCTATCGTAGCGGGTTGCGGAGGGCCTTGCGGGACGGCGAAAACGATCTACGAAAACTCCCTAATTTCTCATCTACAGCTAAGAGACCGATTATCCGTTCAGGCGCATCTCCATCAAGGCTGTATAAACATAAATAGCAAACCAATTTTTTTGACAGCTAGTGACGGAGGTTGTCTCGTCTCCGGCCACGACGAGAGAAGAGGGAGAGGGGGAACTCCCCTCTTCCCGAGAGTGCCTTTTGTGTGTCGCAGAAGTCGCTATTGTCCCCCTACAAGATTACAGAAGATTAACCCGTCACTCAAAATTCGTACAAAAGCAGCCGCTTCGGTGGCTGGAACGTCTAGGCCATCCTCTCGACGTCAGTCTCGCCGTAGCTTTGCTCGTCCTGAGACGACCTACGTCACGATTGCGTTGGATGTCACGTGGTCTCCACTGGGCCTTCTCCGAGCGCTTGCCAGAGTGGGCCGTTTATAACGAAAAATACAGCCACCAGGCTCAAACTACAAACGTGCGATTGTCATTTACGGATATTGTGGATCATATTCAACCTATTTTTGAACACGACGGGAGTATTTCAAATTTCGTTGAAGTATCCCTTTAAAGACGGAGTACTAACACATCTATCGTTATGTTTTTTTGCGAAATTCTCTGCCTGCCTCAATGATATCTCTTGTTAGCTGGTTGTGGTTATTGCCAAGCCCGGCGCAGTTGCTCAGCAGAACTGAACAGCCAGGCTGCCAGAGTCTCGACAGTGGATGTCTAAATGTCCAGAGTCTTTGTTGGTAAAAGTGTTCTTATGTTCACGAACGCGATCGTTGAGACACCTTCCGGTCTTCGTGAACGTAAGAACACTTTTACCAACAAAGACACCGGACATTTAGGTATCCACTGTCGAGACTGTGGTTGCTCAGTTCTGATGAGCAACTGCGCCGTGCTTGGCAAGCACCACAACCAGTTCACAAGAGAGATCATGGAGGCAGAGAATATCGCAAAACATAACGATAGATGTGCTAGTACTCCGTCTTTAACCTTGTCACAAAAAGAACTAGACTACCTAGCCTTACATTAATTTCAATTTTAGTTAGTTTACTACTTAGCTATCCATTTTAAAAGGAAAAAAAAAGACAATTATTCCCCCTGACCCTAGCCCATAATACAAAAAGAAGACGAGAAAAAGTAATAATACCAGGGAGTTGTTAGCGCTGCGTAAGTGTCACTTTCTTTTGTGTGTGTGGACTTGATCAGTAACTGTTTTGCGAATGCGCTGTTCCCCCTATACATCATGAGCAACCAACTCGCCCGAGCCTCCGTGTTAGAAAATTGGCGACTCCCTCGCTGGGGTGAAGAGGCGGGGGCCATGTTTTTAGTCTCTTTTTGCCCGATCCCTAGGGTGACCATATTCCTCAAGGTAGAAAACGGGACATCCCAGCGGGCACTTGGAAAGGGCGGGGGGGGGGGGCGGGCGGCTCGTTGAGGGACTTTTCAAATATTGAGATTGGGATAAAAACTTTAATGAAATAACTGCTCCCATTTCAAAACGTTACCAAATTGCACTAAGCCCTAGGGCCTATAGCGAACAGTCCCATTCACGGTTCAGTTGCATGCACTCATTTGGAAGGTCCTGCTTTGGGTCCTTCGTTGGTGTGGGCGTATTTTGTCAACGACTGAAGTTTCCTAAGCAGGACTTTATCCTCCAATTAAGATTCGGCTGTAAAAGTCTGCTCTCATATATAAAAAAATCATGTCCCGAAAACGGGACATGATTTCTTATTGGGACAAAAAGACGGGGCAGCAGAAGCGGACCTCAAAAACGGGACTGTCCCGGCCAAAACGGGACGTCTGGTCACCCTACCGATCCCCCAAAGGTCATCCTGGTTAGAGTGCACATGAAGGCTCCCTAATCCTGGGGATATCCCACACTGTCTGGTGACAGGGAGAGAGGAATCATATGTTTGTCTCTTTAGACTTAGGCTAGGTGTCGCAAGCTACCGCCCATTAAAATGAGTATATCCGTTAACATTTATCTATTTATCTAAAGCGAAACTAAAAGCGGCACGAGATGGTATTTTAGCGGCAAGTTTTGAAATCACTGTTACGCTATTTAATTAAACTGCCTTAATTGTGTATACATTAATACATTGAAAATTAATAAAATATTACACAACGACTGCAAACGCGTCAAGGTGGTCAAACCCATCGCAACTCACAGGCATAGCTCATAGGCCTCATAGGTCAAACTTCAATGCACGACAACTTCTTTTTTCAAATCTGGCAACGCTGTACCACTTTCACTTTCGGCGGCACCACGGTGTGGCACCAGCATTCCCATTTTCGCATTTCAGCGATTTCTCTGGCGGTGTGGTGTTTGATTTGCATTGAAATGATGAAAAGACTTGTTTTAGGGCTGGCATAACAACTCAGCGTAATAGCCCGTTCTTTTTTTTTTTTTTTTTCATCGTAAAACTAGTTTGAAATGATTTCTAGGCGAAACGCCATCAGAATATTGGAGTTGGATGGAACAAGTGAGTATTGACAGCTTTTCCACGTCTCTCGCGAAGCTTATCTTGATGAGAAAAACGATTTATCGGTTGTGCGGTCCGAGTAGGTGGCTATTTTTGGTGTCTGCATACGAAATAAGAAGTGCATCGATTGTCACGGGAAGTTTTAAATATCCGAAGTTAGGGAGGCTTTTCCGAGCACGTGAAGACAAAAAAAAAAAAAAAAAAAAAGTCACGCCGACATGTTCAGACTGCCAACTGCTGCAGCGTATCAAACCCGCCATCCGGTCGCACTCGCACCGTCTCTAACCGCGGGTATAGGAGAAACCGCCACATATGTGACAGACACCAGTTTGGTGCTGTTCTGAGTTGCCCCGTTCGCGCTGTTTCCGGACACGTCTCCAAGTTCTTTTGTTTAGTTGCAGTCGGGCATCGTGTTTCCAGTAGATCCACGAGGTTTCGTATTAAACTAGTGGAAACGTGCCTTTTCTTTCATCTGTGCACTCCTGGCGCTTATTCGAATACAGGTAACCCGACAAAATAAGTTTAAAACAAAATGATCAGGTGTAGAACGACCGCAAACGTGTGGTTTGGCGTACTTTCGGAAACCGCCTTTGCATGTCGCGCTGCATTTTCTTTTCGAGTTTTCCCCATTTTCAACACCTCTAATTTGGGTGTGAACGAAGAATAACGTCGTCCTTGCTTCCTAACAGGCAGATACGGAGGCGCGGGGTGCTGATCTGTAAGAGCAAAACACCGGTGTTGGATGAGACCGAGCGGGTAGCGGCACTGCCCTGCATTGATGTCATATTCGATTGGGGTGCAATATTTTGCGCAAACTGCTTTCACAGTATTGCTTCCACGTAGTCCGATTGATCCTCGGAAGGCAATCACTTGCATTTATGATGCAGCTTGCAATATTATGAAGAATTAACATCTCCTGATAACAGCTGTGTGCTAAACTTTGTTCCTGTAACAAACCAGGTAGCATTAGAAAGAAATGTTTTGAGCCTAGAAAAGAAACGAGTTTCGTTGCTTCAATAATTTACCCATGACACGAACCATGAAGTGTCCATGATAATGTGGCACAAACAAACAAGAAAAATAACTTCGTACCAGGTGGGACCTGATCTTAGGGCAGTCTACTTAAAAATTACTGCTCCAGTTGTGCAGAGGGTCATCAATGTTTGCAGTGAGCAACTAGTGCTCTTTGGAACTTATATCCACCACATGCTGGCTAGAGCTTGTGTTGTTGGGTGGCATACATGATCTCTTTCACACGCAGAACAGAATCATACAGATGGGAGCGGTGAGCTTTTCATCACAGTTGTTTCTGAGCTCTGCCGATGCGCCTGGTCAGTGTTTAGGTGTTGGCACCACCCCCGAAATTTTACTTTGGTCTATATATATATATATATATATATTTATTTATTTATTTATTCTTAGATGGATAATGGAAGGTTGCTCTTAATGTATAACCGAGTGGGTTGAGGACCAGGTTCCAACTGATTCGGCCAGCATGCGCCGCGCGAGTCGATGACGATCACGGTGGTTGTGAATGAAGACGATGACGAAGTATGAACGTCAATCTTCTTAACATTTTCCCCCTCTATATGAAGGACGGCACATTGGCGTCATAGGGGTATCGCAGAGCTGCGGTTGGTGGGTAGTACTTTTTGAGTCTGGCGACGTGAACGGTGTCACGGTAACGATGGCGGTGGTCCACGGGAACCTCAAGAGCTTCTATGACGTAGTTCACTGGGGATGTTTGGGATATCACCCGATAAGGTCCGTCATTTTTATACAGGAGCTTTTCAGAGAGGCCTACTTGGCGTTGTGGGATCCAGAGCCACACTAAGTCTCCGGGATTAAATCTGTTTGGCTGATGACGAGAATCATATCAGCGCTTTTGTTCAGCCTGGGAGTTGATGGTTTGCAGACGCGCGATTTGCCGGCACTCTTCTGCATAGGAAGCCATTTCTGAAAGTGTCTGATTTTCAGTTGCGTCTGAACGGTATGGTAAGATTGTGTCCAGGGTAACAGAGGCTTCCCTGCCGAACAAGAGGAAAAATGGTGAAAAGTTGGTGGTGGCTTGGATGCTAGTATTGTAGGCGAAAGTTATGAATGGCAGAACCTTGTCCCAATTGGTTTGGTTGGCTTCGGTATACATGGCGAGCATGTCGAGAAGGGTTCTATTGAGTCTTTCAGTTAACCCGTTTGTCTGTGGATGATATGCAGTGGTTGTAGAATGAATGGTATTGCAAGCTGCGAGAAGTCCTTGAACTAGAGCAGAAAGAAATACGCGATCGCTGAGCAGTGTGTGTGGTGCGCCATGGCGGAGCAGTGTATTGGTTAGAAAGAAGGTTGCCACATCTTCTGCGGTCGCAGTTGGGAGGGCGGATGTCTCAGCATATCGGGTGAGATGGTCGATTGCAACTATAACCCAGCGATTTCCAGAAGATGAAGTGTGCAAAGGTACGATCAGGTCAATTCCAACTCGTTCGAAGGGTCGCAAGGGACAGGGTAAGTAAGGGCTGTAATAGTCCAGATGGCGCTTGCGTGGGACGCTTTCGTCTTTGGCACTCAGCGCATGCTTGTACGTAGCGCTGCACGCTGCGATAGAGTCCGGGCCAGAAGTATCGCTGGGAGATTCGAGTGTAGGTTTTTGCGAAGCCGGCATGGCCACATGTTGCGTCTGAATGCATGGAATTCAGTACTTCGCCGCGAAGGTGTTGGGGGATGTAAAGTAACCAACGTTGGCCATGAGGCAGGTAACTGCGTCGGTATACAAGACTGTCCCGTAGACAAAAATGCCGAACTTTTCTTGAAAACGTGCGATCCATAGATATTTGAGATCCGTTCAGGTGATTGATAATTTGAGTGATACTGGGATCTGACGCTTGATCGCGGGTCATATTTGTTAGGCTTAACGATTGAAGACAAAGAGGATCCTCATCAAATAAGGTGTTTGGTGACTCTTCGGGAAGAGGGCAACGGGATAAGCCGTCCGCGTCACCATGCTTCTTGCCGGACTTGTAGCAAACTGTGTAGTCGAACTCTTGGAGACATATATATATATATATATATATATTTTTTTTTTTTTATTGTGTGTGTGATTGCACCAGCACCTTGAAACACCCCCCGAAAATATTTTCTGGCTGCGCCACTGCGCCTGGTTACCATTGGTCTGCCCTAGCAATTAATGAATATTGTTGGTCAAGGATTGAAGTGGAACCATTTTTTAATTTGTGACAGCTCGGGTGGCTACCAAGGCATGCTGACACACCTTGAATACTTATTTCGTGGCCTAAAATTATAATGACTAAAAGAAAACTATGCTTTTGTGTTATGTTGCGGCTATTCCTAAACTGTTGGAGCATTTTCTCATGGCACATGTTTGTCCATTCTCCGTGGTGCTCGATGAACTTTGTCCTTCTGTTGCTTGAACATGCGTGCAAGTGTTGTGTGTTCCTGTTCCCAACTACTCGATGAATGTTTGCCTACAATCATTTGGATGCAACTAAATGCTTGGAAGAAAAAGCAAAGCATTGAATTGTGTGAATAGCAGCACATGTTGGCGAACTAATCAAGAACTTCTCCATTCTTTTTCTGTGCAGTAGCTGCTAGTGCATTTTTTTATTAGTTGAAAGCTTGAATAAGATTGCCCTTATTCTATTATTGTCACCTCTTGCCAGGGCTGGTGCTAGACAGTGCTGGGCACTGGGCAAAAAGTATGAAAGAGATTGTGTCCATGTATGAAGAAGTATGCATAAAAGTTTCATAAGGTAGCAAAAGATGCCCACTAATTCAGTAGTAAAGCAGAATCAGGGATCTGCCGCCTATGTGATGCCCATATTTGGTGTGTTTCTGTAATTCATAAGTAAGGCTGTGCACCTTTAATGCCTGTAGTGGGGAAAATAGAAAAAATTAATGCCTTCAGTTCTTTAGTTTGTAACTCAAGAAATGCACACTTTAGGATTGGGGGGTTTTCAAATCAAAACCAAATATCTTCAGCACATATTTGGCATTATTTAGGCACAATTAACTATCATTAAGCGGGTTAATTTTGGGAACTTCTGGATGTGGCATCAAGCATTTCAAATTAAGTTGCTCTCTACAGTTCTTGATATGCAATTCCTTAATCCAAAGACAGATCCACCTTGTCCAAGATATTGAAAAAGTTTGGGGATGCGGCCAGAAGTATCCACTTGCTGAAATTTCAATGACTGTAGCCTTGGTAGACATCATAACCAAAAATGCTTGTTACAGGCTGCTCATATCCTGCATTATTAAAAAAAAAAAAAAAATGGCAACCTCTAATAATAATAATGGGTTTGTGAAAATCAATCATCTTGCTGCAATTCTGTTTGCTGCTCCGGAGTCTTTCTCAAAGTGGATAAGATGTAGGGACCAATAAAATGCTACAATGTATCTGAAAAAAAAAAAAGCTGTATAAATTGAAGGTCAGATGAAGGACCACACAAGCACAGCACTGACTTGCAACTGAATTCTTGCATGAAACAGCAAGTGAACGAGAGACGGGAAAGATTGAAACGAAAACAACCAACCCGATAAAAAGCCCTAGCAAGCTGATGCATCTCGGCCTGCTGGTGGTGTTTTGTTGGGTTGTTCCTGTCTCTTGTTCACTTGCTGTTACGTGCAGGAAATAAAATTTTCAGTTGCCAAGCAGTGCTGTGTTTGTGTGCTCCTTCATCTAACCTTCCATCTATTTGCAACATTTTTTTCACTTGAAGGGGCAATGCAACTATTTTTGTACTTTGCACAAATACCGCTTTGAACGGATCCCTGACGTTAATGACCTATGAAACACGCGTTTGTTTTTCACCTCATGCATATGCTGCCAATGTTGATCATAGCCACGCGCTGGGGTTGGCAAAGCACAGGACACACGCTGAGTTCCAGACATTGTTATGGCTCGGCTATTGTCGTCGTTGCAGCGATTGGACACGGGCCACTACTCGAATGCTTCTCGAGCTAGTAATTATGACGAGCCCAAATCGAGT